CCTCCCTTCCTTCCTCCCTCCCTTCCTTCCTCCCTTCCTCCCTTCCTTCCTTCCTTCCTTCCTTCCTTCCTTCCTTCCTTCCTTCTTTCCCTTTCTGTAAATCTACCAAAACTTTGCTGCCACATGATTAATGCGAAAAAAAATAAACCACTCATCATACAGCATTTCAGTAATGCTGAACTTCTGTTGAAGACTAGCAAATATCTTCATTTTACTCAACTACTTTGGGCAAAATTCAGTTCAAGGCAGCCATCATGGTGCTAATAATGTATATCGGGGACTACATTTCTTTTTTCTTTTCCTTTTTTTCTTTTTTTTTTTAATAAATGTTCATGTAAAAGAATATAAATCTTCAAGATATCCAAAGCTTAAAAGAAATCAAAATCATATACATAAGCTATTGTCAGGGGAGCCCTTTCACATGAAGTCATCAGGATTGCAACAACAAACAAACAAACAAAAATAAAATAATCTTAGATTCCCAAGTGAAGCAGGTACAGAATTCTGGTTGGATGGCATAGATGATGCAGCATTCACACACGTTTAAGGATCCGACACTCCAACATGCAGCCACCGTGGGTGCCTTGATGAGTCTCACAATGAGCAGTAACCAGACACGAGCGATGCTGTTCTGCTGCTGTCCGAACAACTGACCCTTTTGGAGATGAGACGGAGGCTGTCATTTTGGCTGGGTCTTGATTAAGTTATGCAGGTTTTGGTTTAGCAAAGTCATAACTGGCAGTGTCTGCTGCCAGATAGCAGCCAGAGGAGGACCAGCTGAATTCCTACCACAGACCACAGTGATGGACTCAGACCAGAGGCACCACCACAGTCGGTCGAATCTTCCTGTTGACAAGAAGAAAGTAAGCTATTTAACACTAGTTACAATTACATTTCCTGAAGAGTAATTTTAGACTTAAATGTTTTGAACTATTCTTGAGGCACCCTTTTTGGTCTCACATATGTTATTCTGCCTAAAATGACAGCAAAATAATTCCTAGAAGTTTTCTGATTTTTTTACTCCATTAAGTGTACACATGGGAGGATTAAATACTTTCAAGACTTATTGCAGCTACTTATGAGCTAGACAGGATACTTACACAATCACACAAGAAATGGGATATAACTGGGGACTGCAGTGAACCACACTTATATTCCTTGAAATTACATCAGTTTGGAGATTTTGAGTACCATTTTATTGCGAGGAAAGATGGCAGAACAGATAACTTTTCAAGATTAGCAAACAAACACCACAGTATGTTCATGTCCATTTCATCAACATGATTGAACATTAAATATGGTCTGCCCTTGAAGAGATGATCAAAGACAATGAAAATCCTTTCTGTGTCTCTGATGCTGCATTCAAGTATGAGATTTTCTACTGGCTTTCTGTACAGATTTGATGCAGCCTGTAGAGAAGACACCCTTCAGTTTAAGAACTTGCTCTGAGCTGCACTGCTCTGTCATGCATCAGTGGACCTAACTATTCATTATGCCACACAGTAATCGCATATCCTTTCCTAATTCCTCTTTCCACTAATTGTTATTTGGTCTCACTTTGCCTATAACGCCTAATATCTTTCACATTGCGGACTTATTCATCAGTCTGGCTGAAGTACATTCCACACCTGTTCTGGAGTCTTTACACCTTGTTTCTCAGGACTGATACAATCTATGTTTAGCTGCCTAAAACACCAGAACAATGTTCCAGCCATCCCCTGCACTGCTCTTTCCACTGAGCCTGAGATTTATGGGCAGCTCTGAACACTGGAAAAATTTGGTCTTCTTGTTTTCACTGCATTCTGTACCCATGTATAAAAAGACATTGCATTTTCCAAGAGATCCCAAGCATCCAAGAACAAAAAAGCAGTGTAGGTGGGAAGGGACTTCTGTGTATCAGGAATGGGGGAAAATTCTTGAACAGAAATATGTGCAGGGAAGGACAGGTTGCACCTTATATAGTAACATAGCCTGGCTTCTGGTACAAATATTGAAAGGAGTTTAGAACAGAAAGCAGAGGAAAGCCAACAAGCATGGAACAGCTCCTGGTTCAGACTAACATGCCACTGAGACATACATAACTGATACTCAATGTACCTCAGAAGAGGCTGGGGGTTAGGGAGGATAAAAAGAACAATCAGGATAAATAAGGAAGGTTTAATAAAACACCTTTAATTTACTAGCACATCCTTAAAGAAAACTTGCAAGTGCTTCCACACCAAGGTTAGTAAGGTAAAGTTAAGATGGGGGAATTAACCATCCCAAAATAATACACATAACAGAAACCTGGTGAAAGGAAATACTCACTAGTACGGAGCATTGTTAGGCAACCAACTTTGTAAGAATGGCAGTGTAGGACAGAGAACAGATGGGCAGTGTGTAAAGTATAATACAAAGTGTTATAGCATAAAAGTATTACATGGAAAGGAAAGTATGATGGCATCTTTGTGGGTAAGAAATTTCAGAGTTTAACAATAAAAAAGTAATACTAGGACTGCACTGCTGACCTCCTGATCCAAGTGACAGTATCAGTAATGAAATATTATGTGAGATTATAGAAGTCACATGTAGAAAGGATTGATGCCTTATCAAAAAGTGATTTAGAGATCCATTTTTGGATACGATAAATGCCTTTTGAAACAGTCATTTAACCTTTAGTGATACCTGGGGCCCTCTTCAAATTTATCAGTAGAGAAATGCTCTGTATAGCTTGAGTATAGCTCTAGTAGCTCTGTAAACCACAATACAACAGGATTGAGCTTTGTTGTGTGAGAGATTGGGACAAACAAATGCAAACCAAAAGACACCAATTTGAAGAAAGGGAACTGTATGAAAATTACAAAAAGCATTTAAAAACCCCCACAAAATGCAACTCCAAAATCAAGAAAACACAAAGAACCCAGAACCTTAAACAGACAGACACACACACTGACAGAAAGCACTAACAGAAGCAGCATCTCAAAAAGAAAGTCTCTTGCAAAGATCCAGAAGAGTATTAAGAAATATTGTATTATAAATCCAGGTAAAATGAATGTCACAATTAGAACAACCATCGTCCTATTCCCCATCATCCCCTTCTCCCAAAAACCCAATCCCAAAACAAATGAAAAAACACGAAACTCCTCCTCCACTGAAAAGAAAAACAGACAAAGAAACAAAACCCAACACCACAAAAAAACACCACTACATGAAACAGCAGGGAAATTTAGCACACTGACATAGGGAAAAAGTCAGAATTTAAGAAATTAAGTTTACACAAATAGGCAAGAAGAGGAAAGCACATAAAAATGGCAGATTAGATATAAACTGGAATTTAGGAGGGCTAATGAAGAATTTCTGATTACCTCCCAGCAAAATATACTAAAAACATAGTAAAAAGTTTTTAATAAATCAAAAGCCCAAAGTCAAATGGAGTTAGGGCAACTGCTTGATAACAGAGGTGTAAAGAGGGAACTTGGGGATTACAGGGCGTAGCAAAAGACTTTAATGAGTTCTTTGTCTCACTTTCAAGGGGTGGAGACTTTGATGAGAATCCCACCACACACAATGCATTTTTTAAAGAAGAGTGGTTAGAGGAATCAGAATCAGTTTGGAATATATATATGGAAAATTACAAAATGCAGACAAATTAGACTCAATATATCAGGAGGAATTATAGAATTCACCAACAGTCTCCTTTAGAAACTTGGATGTAAACCTAGCTCCCCTCAAACAGGATTCAAGTTCTCCAGAAAAACAGAAGAAAAAAAAAAATTCATTCTGTCCCAAAGCAAATAGCTCACATTAGCTGCCATTCTTTATCAACAGTAGCCATTTGCTGACATGTCTCTGTCATCTGTTACCTTTATAATTTAGTTCTATAATTTTGGCTTAGGCTTTATTTTTAGGTGATTGCACTCCAAAAGTTCAAAATTCCTGCACTGAGTTTTCTGGTTCATTTAATTTGGCTCTGTCAGTTTTTGCATCTCTGTTGTGTCCTGTCATGTAGCTTTACTTCTACTCCAGGCATCTAAAAATAACCCTGCTGCTTCTTCCTCACAGTCAGGACCAACAGGAGTAGAATTGCCAGTAACATTTTTTCTCACATGAATTGAATGAACAGTACTCAGTGTTACTCTTGGCATTTAAGATTCTTATCACTGAAACCATGTACAAGAGTAGTCTTTGAAGAAATAGTCTGAAATATGAGGTTTAAAATTTTCCAACAGAGGGCATATGTTTGTAGAATAAGTAAGAAGTCAACTGGAGGTCTTAAACATAATTGTGTCTAACAGGAAGGGGCAACGACTATGCATTCAGAATAGATGGACCTCCACATATAGAACCATACAGTAGTCAGCTTGAATGTCATCTCTGCATTAGACCAAAGATTGGGTAAAATTATTTTGATCAGTTAATCCTCCTGCTATATGTACTTGAAAAAAGTCCATTCTGTTGCCCATTCAATTTGCTTTTGTCACAATTTATGAGCAATGCTTTAACATTCAGCAGTTAGAATACATAATATTATTACTCGATTGAAAATAGATATTTCAGTATTTTTTGCTCTCTACCTAAGACTACACAGAGTTGTTTTTAACAGATTCATAACAGTGGAGAATGTCTTGGAAGCCTCATGTAAAAGGGGCATCTTAAATATTACAGAGTTAAACTGTACTAAACAAAAGTATACCAGGTTTATACACATATGTCAAGGCTGATGAGATTTTAACCCCATATTGATGAAAGTCACATTACATTTCTGAGGTTTGTAGACAAATTTACAGTGGTAAACCAGCAGTTTTGCCATGAACAATTTCTAAATATTATCTCTGGAATCAGTTACTTCTTTGTGTCCTAAGCCAAGACAAAAATAGTAGTGGCAAAGAAGGTACAGTAAATCCTATCTAAATTACTTTTTCCTCCCCAGCCTTGCATATTGTAATTTTCTTGCGTGCTTTAACTCTTGTGTAAATAACAATAAATTAAAAAAAAAAAAAAAAAAAAAAAAAAAAAAAAAAAAAAAAAGAAGAAGAAGAAAAAAAGAAAGAAAGTGTGATTACATGCTGATTTACACAAATTCATAATACACTTTTATGGAAATGCGCAGAATCCCACCATTAATTTGGAAGCAGATTGCATAAAATGTCAGTTTTGAATGATCTTCAAAATATTGTTTTTGAAAACATTTCCCTACTCCTGAGGTTTAAGAAAACTTCTCAACTGTTTCCTCTAATGTTATTTTTGAGATTTTTTGTAAATTTTCATTTAACAAACTACATAGCATCATTTTACCTTATATTTACCTCTGCCAGTGCAATTAGACATTGAAGTAATATACTGAGCAACTTCACTGAAATTTTCTAGCTCATTACATTTTTCACTACTACTTTAGTCACACAGAAAACCCGAATAACCAATAGATCAGATGGGGATGTCCTCTCTCTGTTGTCTTCAAAATAATATCCTGTATATTTTTTCTCTTTGAAGAGAGAAAGAATTGGAAAATAAATTGGAAAGAATCCTCATCAACCAGTTTCATTTAATCAGAAGTGTATCAGAAATTTCTTGCATTAATAAGTCACATGTCAAATTTCCTTTCATGCTTGAGGTAGAGAAGCATCCAATTAAAATGTCATCTCCTTCATGTTATGCCTTACTATGATAACTCTAGAGAGGGTTCTTTTACAACATCATACACTGTGAAAATTATTCAGCACTAGCAGAATGGAAATTAGTGCTTTTATAAAAGCATATATTCCTTGTCAAGCATCAAACCCACATACTCATTGCTATATATCAACATTTTCTTGAAGGCAGTGCCAGTCCACAATTTAAAGATACACATGGATATAAATATATATATATATATACATACAGACACAAACACATATCTAAGTTTTTAAACATACTTGTTGCTCCTTTAGTAGTACACTATAACTATTTAATTTAAGAAAACTTTGTCTCAAAACCATAATCATTTATCAGAACCCATTGTGCTACACTGACTATAAATAGATAAAATAACATTATCCACCAAGAAGCTTCTGATCTGTTCTTTGATATCAACTGGTTACGTCAAAGTTTTACCTTTTATAAGCTTGTTTTAAATGCTTCATAGTGCATGGAGAACACCTTTGCTTTTACTCAGGGGTCATTTCAAATTCCCATGCCTGCACTTTTATAAATTTTGTGTTACCCTTCTTCTTCTGGACTAGCACAAAACTGTCAAAGCTGTACACCTACCCACATGAAGATCAGGAGTACAAGCCCATCTCATAAAAAGGTAGACATTTGTCTGGGCTGCTAATTACCCTCAAAGCTCCCCATGACATGCGTGGAAGCAGATGGAAAAAGGACACTCCCAGAAGGAGCTAAAAAGTTGTAGAAGTCCTCTCTTTTTTATCAGACATGGTAAACAAAAACAATGTGTTCAGACAAAGTAAAAGCAAGCTATTCAAGGGTGTGATAAAGACTGTTCTGTTACCCTTGGAAAAAAAACCAGCTTCTGTTACTGAACCTGATCAGCTGGTTTGTATCTGTGTTGGCTTCAGTGATTTTAATAAAACTACCCAGATCAATGTCCAGTTAGAAGCCATTTTCAAAATCACAAAGTTATTAAGCACAGAATGGATGAACAAAATTACATTTATAACTTTATGTTGCCAGAAGTCTGTTAAAATTATATTTCATAAGTTTCCAATTATTTTGGTTTGCCTTCTTGAGCAGAAAGACCATTTTGGACATAAAGAATTCAGCTCAAGGTGAGTCTCTGCTGCTTTATGTACATTGGACAGTAGATTTTTAATTAAAATAAGGTTACTCACAGAGCAAATTGCACGAGTAAGAACATGAGATGTTAATCTAGATTTTAATGTGAAATACCACTGCCTTGGGGGAAGGGACTTTCACCCTTCCTTACAACCTTCAGCCATGGCTGTGCAAGTTTCTAGGTTCACTAGAAATTAGATCATTTAAATACAGAATAGGAAACTGTTAAACAGGATTTGAAGCTTCTCTTTGCTGATGTTCAAGTGATATTTCTTGAACCTTTCTCGAAGTTCAAAGAGAATATAAATTATTGAGAAAATGAATTTTCTAAATTGTTACAGTTTTCAATATTTTTCCAAATTTAGTCCAAAAAATGACCTCGAAGTTTCCATTTCTGCCTCTCAATTGGCTGTACTTTGATAGATATGTTAGTATCTCCCTCTAGTGGTTTTCCGAGTAATAGTATTGATCAGAAACCCCTCCAGAGTACAAGGTCACGAGTTTGATTTTCTTTAGATCAGCAGTTCTCTTGCATACATGTCACTAGCACAGCAGTGCACACTCCCACACCATTAAATGAAACACAGTCGAAAATGCCAAGGCTTTTGTTATGAACCCCAGAGTCTGCACTAGGTCAACATGCCAGACTTCATGTATCCATGTGTCTCATTAGAAGCAGAAAAAGCATCTTCTGCTGTAATTAGGCAATGACTATTCTCAGGTTGCAAACATTTAAAAAGTAAAAATATTAATTTACTGAATTCATAGTTATATCAAATTGATGCACACTATTACATTCCATCTAGCATTTGTGTTAATTTGAATGCAGTCAAAACTCCTTACTCTTCTCAATATCAACACTTACTCTTATGCAGAGCACTCATCTTTGCTATCCCTAAGTACAGATTCATTTTCATAGGTTTTCATAATCTCTTCTTATTTGTAACCTCTTCTTACTACTTACTACTTTGTACCTTTGTTTGTTGCAGAAAACTTTATTTTTCTGTTTCATTTTAACAGGGACAAGGGAAAAACGTTTTGAAGGGAATAACACTGACTCGGTACATGTGCAATCTCAAAGAGCCAGCCACATAAACCCAACAGGTTCCAGTGTCTTTGTATTTGCTATGGGAGAGGCCCTTGTGTTCTGTAATTATGATTTATAAGGCTCCAAACAGGGTTTTTTCATATTTAATTTCCTTTAATATTGCAATAGTAATTTGCTCCAGATTGCTGCTTTTGGGACTTGCTTCATTCTGTTTTCTCTTGTATACTTAGTAAGTAAAAATGTCTGCTAATTTTTAAAGCCAAGAACAAACCCAAAAATTAGAGAAAGTAACTGACCATCCACACCACATGAAAACTTGCAGAAAAATGAAGATAGGAGCGGACATCATGGCAGAGGCACGACTCGTTGTGCATATAGGCTGATCCTATTAATAACGGGCAAAGTAGCAAGTAGAGGAAAGGAAAGAAAACACAGAAGAAAAAGACATACAAGATGAGATATCATGCAGATTGCTGGCAGTTAGCAGAGTTAATGTGAAAGCATTCACCGAAGAGCAAGAGATTCACAGCAAATTTTGCAAATAAACTTAACCAAAACAATCCACTGTTACAAAAGACTGATTAGCACCACAAGCTAGTGAGCAAGAGTTGTACTTTCACACACAATCATATCAGGATAACTTGGAATATTCACAATGGCCAAATAGATTTCAGGTGATTTTTCAACTTTGTTTAATTTTTGTTGTCCAGTAAGACTTCCCTTTTAAATAAAATTTGGTTACAAGAAAAATGCATTTCATACCAGATATCTGGGCTGTTTTAACATTGCAGTAATTGTGGCTCATTAAAGAAGAGCAAAGAATATACTGTAAGAAAACTTGGTATACAATGGTTAAAGCAAATCAATTGCACTAGTTTTGGAAAATCTTTCCTTTGCAGAAATGGGATGAAGCATTGCAAATGCATTTAAAAAAAATATTTATTTTATATAATTGCAGATAGTCCCCTCTTCACTACTTTTTTGTCTTGAAATTTAGTCTGAAGAATTTGAATTTGACATTCTCTTTCATGCAGTATTTTGAAAGGTAAGACACAGAATATATTCAAAATGGTACAGTTATAATTTTTCTCCTGAACAGTAATGTATACAAAACGGTGTATGAGACAGCATAACATTTTGCTGATTTCATAAAGACAATGCACTTCTATACCTATTGAGAATGTGACCTAAGGTGAATACACATTTGCAGAATTTCTAAGAGGAATAACATACTAAACCAGATATAAATAAAATTAAATAATATTTGGAAACACTAAAATAAAAATCCTACTTCTAAGCCAGGATCATCTAGTTGTGGAAGCCACAGAAGAACTGAATTTGACAGCACCATCAGTTTTATGCTCAATGCTGGGGTTTTTTTTAGAGGGAGTCGTGTGTGAAAGTGCAATGGTTACAGGAAAAGCAGATAAGAAAGCAGCTGCTAATTCTATGTTGACCATGGGATACTTGAAATAAAGTGGCTATGGTCTAGAGTGGACAGTATGTTTAATGACAGATAGGTTACCAGGTACCAAGGTATATCTAAACACTCTTCTTAAACAGTTCCACAATTGTTTTTAAACATAGTCCTAAAGTCTTACAAGTTCAAGCTTACCTGCTTGGCTTCATCGAAACAGACATCAGGACCCTTTCTGTATCTTGGTTGTTTGACCATTTCACAAGGATTTGGCCCTTCATCTGTATCTCCGGTTAAGGAGTATGACTGCTCCTTCTGCATATCACATTCTGCTTTTACATTTGTGGGAGAAGTTTTATACTAATTCAGAAAGTACTGAAATCAACAACAATAGTCACAGCTTCTTGTTTAAATTGAAGAAAACCAAATCAACCCAGTAGGTAAAAAAAAATCAGGTGCCCCTTTTTTCCTACACTGCCTGAATCTAGAAAACAAACATTTTAAATAGTGCCGATTGGTTATAGCATATGTTACCATTGAGTTATTCTGCTAAAATGAAAACACACAATAATAGTGAGAAGGACTTTTTGGAAAAGCAATGCTTTATACAGGCTGAAAATTGCAGTGAAGGCCTATAAGAACTACTGTTTTTATTTTATATATTACCACAAAAATACATTATCGCAAATGCCATAGACAAGATCATCCCATTGTAGGCTTTGATAGCAAATGACAGAAAACCTAATCATATCTCATCAGCATTTCAGTGGTGAAGGGAGACAGAGAAAATGCTGTCCAGACTAACAGCAGAACAGAAGTATAGAAGAGAGAGCAGTGACATGCTATTAATTAGCTAACTTTAAACATAAGGTAATGCTTTAGCTTATGTCTCTGAAGGCTATAACTACTGGTGTTTAAGTGTAAAGACTGTATTTCACATTTGCCACAGGCTAATGAGGGACACAAGTCTTTGCAGCACAGATATGGTACAGGGCAAAACTGTCTTCTGTAGAAACCTGCTCACACTGCCATTCAGCATGTTAAGCTTTTTTTTTCATTCCACTGTTGGTAATTACCACATTAAAGCTAATCTAGAATGTTTTAAAGAACTCGAGCACCAAAACTTTACTTATCTTAGAAGTATTCCTATTCATGCACTAGTGTAGAGAACTATGGCAGTTTTGTTGAAATGAGTGGAGATGCCCAATGGAAGAGAGGGCAAAAGGGAATTAATTCTATAGATCTACATCTATCTTCATTCAGATGTTATCAGACTCGCCTCTCCTTTCTTTTGCAGAGGCCCAGCTGAAAGGGAAGTTGAAACATAGAAATATTCTAAAAGATCATGTGCACAAGCAAAGCTGTACCAGCCAGAAGGAAGCAGAGTCTAATAATAACCATCTGAATAACACCCAAAGGTCATTCTGTCTGCTTGTGTGATGTTACGCTACATCTGCATTTCACAGCGTACCTTAGTTATAGGGAAGAGAGAATAGCTTAGTACTGCATAGTTGGAACAGAAATAAAATAGTCCATTTAGTCAATATAAGCCCACCCAGTGGCTCTGGCTGCCATTTGAGGTCATTTACTGCTTTCTAGAAGGCCTGGGCCCCTTGGGGCAATGCAAATATGTGCCTATTTCCCATCAAATGCTCTTCATCTTCTATAGCAAGTGCTGTCTATACATTCAGACAGAGGCAACAGTTAATCAAACTGTCATGGACTGGAGCCAATTAGAATATTAGGCTGTGTTTATATAGTCCTGTGATGACATGGATATTGCTTCCACCTCAATGTAACTTCCTTTTCAGCCCAAGCATAGATGGAATTCCAGTTTTACTAGTGTGGCAATGAATGCATTGCTTGTGCCAAAGAAACAGTCATATCCACCACCATCTGATTTTATTTCAGGAATGGAAGACACTGTCTAAACTAACTTCCTGACTTAGACAAAGGTATTACACATTGTTTTCCATATTCTGTCATAATAACCCTATATGATTTAATTTACCACCTCTGGCATGCTGTCCTCAAGAGTATACAGCAGAGAAAAGTTGAGGTGAATTTCTCCTGGCCTAGAATACAAGTATGTTGGTTTCATGTATTTCCATCACCTATAGTGAACATCTACTGCAGTGAGGAGGCTAAAGGCACATAGATTGGCATGAGGGTAGCTGTAAATTCAAACCTTTTACATGCTTTTATTTTAATGCATGTGTTGCAATGACGTGCTTAGTATTTATACAAACTATATCTCCAGCCAGCTTTGAAGAATTCCAATGCTGGCAGCTGGATAAACTCTAGCCTTTGATGGTTAAAGTAGTTTCCCCAAGAAGTAAGCTGTTGGCACTGAGCACACACTAAAGTGCCTCCATGACTTCATCTCAGTGTTGCAGGCATCAGTGCAGCATCCCCACTTTTCATTACCAAACACTCTTATCTCCGTGTTGCCCTTTTCTTGTTATTTCTCTAGACAGTCATATATTTCTTTCTTAAAAGCTGAACAAACCCAAGACTCCCAGGCTGTCCTTGCCTGTCCCGTGCTCCAGATGCCAACCACCTTGGTGGCCCTTCACTGGGGTTCCTCCACTATGTCAGTGTGATACCGGGGGGCCCCAAACTGTATACAGCGTACACTAGTGGTCTCACTACTGCTGAAGGGATAGGATGGATCAATTATCCCAACCTGCTGACTACATTCTTGCTAACATAGCCCAGGATGCAACTGGTTCTCTTTATTCCAAGGCACAGTGCCCACTGATGTTCAACTTCTTGTCCATCTTGATCCTCCAATCTATTTTTGCAAAACTGTTTCTAGCCACTCTGCCTTCAGCCTATCCAGCTGCATGTCATTATTCTGTCTTGGATCCAAGATCTTGCATCTGTGTTTGGGAAACTTCATTAAGTTCCTGTGAGCCCATTTCTGTTTAGTTCCTCATGAATAACAACTTTGCTCTCTACCTCAATGACTGCTGTCTCAGTGATATCATCCACAAATCTCTGCTTCTTAAAGTACTCCAATGGCAACCACTCTAATAATATGTACATAAACAAGATAATTTTTTTTCCAAATATATTCTGGTAGGTCATAGCCAAAAATCAATCCACACTACTAAATTATTTGAATTTAAAGGATACCCGGCTTCTCTGCTTGCATCAGTGGCTTTGGGTCACAGGAGCGGCACAGCAGTTGGCTGTCACTAATAATGAATACTAGATTGGTGTTTGAAATCTTCTCTGCATGATAAAGTCTGGGGGAAAAAAACCAACAAAATCCTATGTTTAAATGAAGCAAGAAAATCCATATTTGAGGACACACAGTATTGGAGTAAAAGTAATCTAACTACTGCTACTGTTGATCTTTTCCACTAACAAACAGCAAGAAACATTTCTAATAAATTTTATCTTTTAAGCATTTCCATGGTTCCTCCTTTCAACTAGACTTATTAGTGGAAAAAATTGAAAAGACCATGAAATTACTTTAACTGAGTTAATAGCTAGCTTGGTACTGCTACAACAGTAGCTGTACTGGAAATAAAATCAGTTCAGCATCAATTCTTTCCC